ATGCATCTGCATTCTTCTTAATACAAGATATCATTCATAACTAAAGAAACAAAAAAAGAAAAGAGATCATCCTCCCCCTTCATCCCCCTCCTCCTAAGGAGGCTTATGCCTCTTATGTTCGGAACTACGCCTCACACCTCTAGGTGGTGGAACGCCTCACGTAACGCCTCCGTGTTTTAAAACATTGCTCCTGAAATAGGGTTTGCCCTGAAACACCAAGGATTTTGCATATCGGTGACCGACTGATATGATGCATATCGGCCAATATGGGCTGATATGTTGTGAAACTTTGATCCTTGGATGGGATTATCTGTTTCATGACTTTTTTTACAATTTGAAGCTAGAGTTTCTTCCTAGAGGGAATTTTCCAAATTGGTTTGCACTCCGTTGCTGTGATGTTAAACAGAGTAAGGTCAGAAGACATTCCGAGGAAGGTTAAGGTGCTTGCAGGTGGTTTGCTCTATTTTGCATGGCTGGAATCCTCCACTGAGGTTTCTCTGTGGAAGGAAGCTTGTAGAGAAGAAAAGATGGAAGAAAAAATGCTACATGGCAATATGAGGGTGGGTGGTTCAAATGGTAGTGGAATTTTTTCAAATTTGGGTAAACAAAATCTGTAAACATTAAAAGAGTGGAGACGGGAGGAAGTATTTAGACGCCTAGAAAATGGTGTTGTGCTAATGTGTTGTATTAGGACTTTCGCTTAGGTGTTAACAAATGGTGTAATTATTAATTTTGGATATTGGGTTTAGTGAGCGTGAAGAGAAGTTGAACAGTTAAAGAGAGAGTTGGGTTCAAACTGATCCAATCCATTTGAACCAGCAATTCAAGTTGTGGTATGTGATAACTCAAGTGGTCTAAAATGAGAGGCAGTATTATGGGAAGATTCACTAGAGCTGCAGTAGCTTGGACAATTTGGGAAGATAGAAATCTGAGGATTTTTGAAGATAAAGGAAGAAGCAAAGAAGTTGTGATTGAAGTGATAACTCAAAGGGTGGCACACTGGGTGAAAACACTAAAATTGTTTGCTGATTTTAAGACAGAAGACTTTTTCAGATCATGGGGAACAATAGCAAGTACTGCATCTAGAAGATCTGTTGTAACTGAATTCTGGTCCCCTCTGGATGCTGGGTGGAAGAAACTAAATTTTGATGGCAGCTGTTTGGGAAATCCGGGCCCATCGGGCATTGGTAGGGTAATAAGGAAAGAGAATGGAAATATGTTAGCCATATTCTCAGGTCCTATTCAACATGGGAATGTGGTGAGCTCAGAAATGAAGGCAGCAGTATATGGTGTTGAAAAAGCTAAAGAAATGGGGATTGACAGGTTGATT